GCCTTGCTGCTGGCCTTTTCCCCCCCCCCCCCCTTCTCCCTGCAGGTAAATAGGGAGGGGGTGGAGGGGAGTGGGCCCGGGCCCAATGTGGTGGCGGGTGCCTGCTCCTCCCATCCCCCTGCCACAGCCGGGTAGGCCTGGGCCTGCTACTTTCCTGTGCCCGGCCACTGCAGCAGCCTGGCTTCTCCTCACCCTCGGGCCCGGTTCTCCCTGCATCAGGCCCGGGCCTGCTCCTCCTTTCCCCCTGCCACTGCGGTTGGGAGGTGAGGTGTGAGCCTGAACCCCAAGCAGCAGGAGGGAAGTGGGGGGGCTGGGGCTTCATCCCCCCCGGTATTCTTCAGAGTGTTTCAAGTATGGGGATTCTGAAACCGCACTGAGGGCTGGACAGAGGGTGGGGGAGCCAAGGCCAGCAGCTAACCCACCCTGCTGCCTGCAACATATAGAAAAGTGGCAGCATGGGGCATTAGGTGGTGGCACTTCATCCCCCCCACATGATTCTTGATAGGCAATTGGCATGTGTATGTATGTGTGTGTGTGTATGTGTATATCTTGGAGAAGTACATACTTTGCTCAACTGCATAGCACAGTGCCAGTCTCAGTTTGTTGTTTATTGCTTGTTTAGGCTTGGCAGAATTTTGTTTTTGTCTAAAAAAAAAATTAATGGCTAAAATTGGTATTTATCTTCAATCATGTCTATTGATTTTTGTTAGTTTTTATTGATTTAAATTTTCAGGATTTCTCAGGTGGGGGGCAGACAATTAATCATGACAGTATGCTGTTAAAAGCTTTATAAAATCCATGTTAAAATATAAAAGGTAAATATGTATAAATCAGTAAAGAATACCTGATCATGCAGGAGCTAGGTTGGGTTCTCTGGAAGTTTGGCTTCTTCCTCAATCATGCAGGGGCTGGGCTGGACTGGGCTCACCAGGAATTTGGCACCTGATCCCCAGCTGGGATCTCAGCTGAGTGAATGGGTGGTAGCACCAGGCTCCTAGCTACAACAGCCCTGCCCCTCCAATGCCCCTGCTCCCTGCCAGCACAGCCTGCAGCTCTTGGTGTGTGAGTGCGTGTGTACACGTGTATCCACTTGCAGCACCTTCTGCCCCCAATTTCCCTACTCTTGTCCTGAACTTTTTTTTTTACGTCCCCTTTCTATAATATTTGGTGACTACCAATGGAAATATTTTTACATTGGTCTGTGGGTGTCAAGGCTAAATCAGTGTTTAGCAGTGTTTGTCTAAAAATCAAATCCTGACACGCCTATTTATGTGGCAAAAGGCATAGTTATATACAGTTATGTATTAGTTTTATATATGTATACATTAAAAGTAATGTGGTACATGACTACTTTTTTTTCAGACTACTTTTTTTTCAGTATTTATAGTGTCCTTAAAAGTTAGTTGAAGATGTCTTTCCTCAACCAGTATATGGAAAAAAACAATTTTAAACTCCATTATTGAAACTGTAGGATGAATTGTAATTAGTTTAGCATATTTTTCTTAAAATAGATTGCAGTAAATTTGGCCTTGTGTATTCATACTAGTCGTCTTAAAAATAATACTGTTTAAAGGTCTTCTCTTTCCCTCTTTATCTCATGTATTTTAATTTATTTTTTTTAATACTCTGCATGTCCTTTTACAGCATCTGATAAAGTGAGCTCATGAACACTTGTGATATAAATAAAATAAAATATGGACCATACAGAAACTAACCAAAGAATGTGTGGAACCTCCAGCTTAATAGAGATATTCTTGTTTTCAAGCTAAACGTGGTTGTAGCAGCAAGGGTCAGAGGACCAAAGGTGGAGCTCTAGCACAGTCACATGTATTTGCTTTGTCAACTGAAAAGATATCATGTTTGTTTTAACTGAAGAACTTAAACCTTCTCAGCAATTAAAATACAACTGTTTTGTTTTAGATTAGTGAAGAAGTTAAAGAGAGACTCAAAGATGAGCTGTTTATGTCAACTCCTGGCTTGAGTGCAGAAAAAGGAAAAGAACAGGCCTTCTATAAAGTAAGTTGGAGTTAATGGAAAGTGTCAGCATCTCTTCCTCTCTTTTGTAAAATGTTAAAAAGTCATAAGAACTCTCCTCACTTCCTGAAATTGCAGTAGTAGTCTTCTGTACTTGCTTATAGTTTAAGATTTTGTTTCTACACCTCAAATTGGAAGGCAAGTTGACTGATTCAGGCTTGCTTACTAGAGGGGGTGGTGGTAAATGAGGTAGGTTTCAGAACTTTCTAGACTGGATTAGGGAAAACCATCAAAAGGACTTCAGGTATAAGTCCCTCCAGAAACTATTTCAGTGGTTTTCAGCCTTTTAAGACTCCAGTTACTACTGGATAGACTCAAGGGAATTCTTGGAAAGTGTCAGGTTGTAGTTTTCCATCTGTTTTTGACAACATAGTCAAAGATAGTAGGGCAGTTCTTTTGTTGCAGATAGCTCAAAGACTGCAGCAGGTTACTGTGGATTCCTGTTTGAAATTTCTGGGTTTATCCTGTGAATAATGTTTGCATATCTAAACAGTGCTAACATTGCATGGCACCTCACAGCACCCAGGAAAGGATACGAAGGCATCCTAGTTGAGAGTGACTGCTCGATTTATCTTGTATCACCCACCACAGATTTCTGCCTATGGGCAACAGAAGAGGGATGATGGCATGCATCTGCATTTAGTTTGGACTTAAGTGGCTAGGAGACCCAGGGATGTAGGGAAGCACTTGTTGCAATCTAACAAAATACAGCTGTAATCTGCTTTCCCCCTATACTTCAGTCTTTGCTCCAGCCATTTTAGCCCTGGTCTACTGGTCAGCGTTAATAACAAGGGAAAGATTGAATGTATTTTCAGCGGTCCCTTTCTAAACACTTTTATGTTTCCAGTGAATAAGTTAGAAAGTGGGGAAAAATACAAACAAGGCCCTGGGAAAGGAGGAGAAACTGAAAAACTTTCTATTTTCTACTTGTTAGATACAACATTGTATCAGGAAAGTCTGAAAAAGAAGCCAGGGTGTTTTGAACAGGTTTCAATTCAAACACAACACTACATAAAATTTGAAATGTATTTATTATTTCTGGTTAACCCAAATATCTCAACTTGGTTTCTTGAGGCTAGAGATGTTGATAAATGCTGGGTTTGCTTTTATTTTCTTGAAGTACTGAGAATTGATATTGGCTTTTCTACACAATTGATGCACTTTTGTTGTCCACAAGTTATTAGAATCTTGCTTGAAAGAATCAGTTGCCTAATAAGGTCAAAATCAAATGCCAAAAACATTATACCCCATGCATTTCTCATCAGTAATTAATATCTTGATAATCAATACTTAGTAGAATCAGAATCTTAAACTAAAATCTTAAATTTCCCCCCCTTCTTGCTATTAGAATCAGTGAATGAAATGCAGCATAATACCAAAAATGTACAGAGTTCCTTAACACAACTCTGCATCGCCTTTTCACTGTGCTAGCTTGGCTGCCAGTTACTAGAATCGCTGGTTATTAGAGTCCGAAGTGCTCTTCCAAGTGTCATTCTAATAACCAGTGGATAATGTCCCTTGATAATATTGGTATCAGTTTTGATATAGCTCTTTTAGTTTTGTTTCTAAGGTATATCTTTTCTTTAACAGTTCTATTCTCTCCAGACTTGAATAGTTTGTAAATGTAGACTTGGTTTAACATGACTATTTTTTTAGGTCTTATTTCTGAAGTTCGTTTCTTTCTCCTCATCTCTAAATTCAGATTCCTCTTCAGGATGCCCAGGATTTAATTAGAGTAAGAAGAGTTTTACTTAATTACGGATTTGCACTCGTGCCACATCAGGATATGGTTGTAATTATCTTGAATAACTATAGAACGAAACTCTCTAAAGCCCTGGCAGTGAGTATACATTTTTTCCTATCTAATTTTGTACCTTTTGAGGTCCACTTGTTAATTATGCAGTAACATACATAATGGCCCTCCAGAATGTTTCTAGCAGACTGGCTTCAATCTGCAGAATTCCAGCTAAGTATTATCAAAATTAATTACAGAGCTTAAAATAAAACAATAAAAATCTTATTGTGAAGATAAGCTGAAAGAACTTGATTTTAAATAGCACTCTTAGCTGTGTGATACACAGGTCTCCTAGAGGTGTAAAGATTTTTATAATTATTTCTTATATGGATGTAGTATAGCTATTACTGTTGACTTGGCATGCATAACAGGGCTTAAATCATTTTTTTATATTACTCTGTTTTGCTGTGGTTGGTGAAGACAGGAAAAACACATTTAAGGTAGTTATTTTAATTAAGAATTAAAGTAATATTTTGTTACAGTTCATTACAACCCCTTTGCAGGCAAAATACATTTACATTGATGCAAGGGGATTTAAATGGGACATCAAATTCTAGTGTAAGTACCTACATCAAATATCCCATGTGACAGTTTTTTTTTATGACAGTAGGTTGCAGGGAACAATTAAAATGTTGTAGAATTAGGGACTGCTTCTGTACAAAAGCCTTGGTCACAAAATTGGCAGCCTTGCAAAACATACTTAATAAAACAGGCAATGTATTTTCTTTAATATATTCACAATGCATTTTCTTCCTATGTTACTGGTACATTAGACTTACTGTTAAATGCAATTTATGTTGGTTAAACTGTGAAAAGTAAAAATGAGATCGCTTTGGGAGAAGCTGTGGAAAGTATACCAATTTTCTATTAATTCAAATCCTTAAGGGAATCTGCAGAAGGAGGTATCTGATGTAACATATAGTGAAAATAGTGCAGTTTTAGGCTAATGTTGCCATTAACACTCTACATTATAATTGAAGCAAGAGCCACCCTTTTTTGGGTCCATGAATAATATTCTTGAAAGCTAAATAATAGTCTAATTAAAGCAATTGCCACAAGCTTAACGGTTAGGTCAGGGGTGGGCAAAGTATGGCATGTGGGCTGGATCTGGCCTGTGGAAGAGCTTTTGTTTGGCCCACGGTAGGTCCTGCCTGGCCCAGGAGCCATTCAGCTCATGGTGCATCCCACCACCTCTAGGCATGCAGGTGGGGCTGGGGTGGCTCCATGACCAGACTCCATTTCCTGACAGCCCGGGAAGCAGTGGTTCCTTCTGGCTGCCACCAGCCCGATGGAGACTGTCTGGGGCCCACCTGGGCAGGGCCCAAACCCTGAGCTGAGTGCAAAGCCCCAGCCTGAACCGTGGGGGGTTGGGGTCCCTGCAGTGCCCACTCTGGACCTGCTTGCCCCAGCTGTGATGAGTGTTGGTGGCAGCCCTGGCACAGGCTCTGGGTCCTGCTTTTTCCAGCTGCCAGTGCTGCTCATCATGGCTGGGTTGGTTAGGTCCAGAATGGGTGCTGCAGGGACTCCAACCTGTTGTGTGGGCTGGGACCGGAGACCGGGGCTGTGCATTCATCTCAGTGCTTGGGCCCTGCCTGTGCTGGTCTCCATGGGGCTGGGGCTGGTGGTGAAGGCAGCTGGAAGGAGCCGTGGCTGTTTCCTGTGCCTGGGCCACTGCCACCAAAGCTAAAGCAGCAGCTCCAGCCCCTCTTCAGGATTGAAAGGTGGCTCAGAGGTGGTGCTGATGGTGGTCAGGGCTTGGGCATGGAGACCAGTACAAGCAGGGCATGAGCCCTAAGCTGAGTGCACAGCCCTGGCCTGCCCCATGTGGGTGATTGGGGTCCCTGCAGTAACCACTCTGGACCCACCTGCTCTGACCATTATAAGCAGTGGCAGCAGGGAAAAAGAGGGACCTGGGGCTGCCCTGTGGCTCCTCTCCTCTGCCACCAGTGCTGCCTTTGGGATACCCAGAGCCCCCATGCCTGGCAGGGAGAAGCCGCAGGGCAGCCTTGGTGCCCACACCAGCCCACTCACACCCATGCCAGCTCCCCACCCACCTGCAGCCCAATCCCACATCAGGAGGTTTGGTGAGCTGTTCAGTGGGGGTGGTGCTGAGCTGTCCTGTGACAACTCCCTAAACCTCCCTATGTGGCTTGTGGACCCAAATAATTGCTTGCCTGTGGGTTAAGTGATAAAAATTTTGATTTTTTTCTGCTTTTCAAATTCACTGCAGCTTTTCCTTAATTTTGGTAATCTGAGTATGTTCTGTAACTATGCCTTATTTACTTGGTACAGGAGAATGCCACTTGTAGTTTACATGTATCCTGTTGTTTATAATATTTACTGTTTTCCATATTGGCTTTTATTGTAACAACCTTTCCTAAAGTGATAACTGTTTGGGGAAATAAAAGTGTTATTTTTGTTATATCTCCAAGGTCACAACGTCTTTACTTTACAAAATATTTACAATATAGCTTGAGTGTGATAAAGGTCAGATTGCTGCAAAAAAATTGCCTGGCTATCCTCAAATGATTCCTGGAAGTCACAAGAATCCTATCTTTGTTTACTATAAAATTTCACTTGATTTCACTTAAATAGAAATGATTTTGCAGTTATTTTAAACTGATCAGAATTGACAGCATGACAAAGGAAAAATATACTCTGTTAAACATAACAATTCTTAAGTTGTGACATGGACCCTTCAGTAAGTCTTAAGGAGAAGGCAGATTATTTTGCTTTAAATAATGATTTTTGAAAAAAAAAATATTTAAGTAAGTTATACATATCATTTCTAACTAATGACACAGTTCATTTTAATCATAGTTGCTCAGTACTAAAATTGAAAATTAAGAGTATTATGTGAAAGACTTGCAGGTGGGAGTGCATATGAACTTATAAAATACAGACAAATTTTATACTTCCAAATTTCTTAGCATTGTAAGAATGAAACCGACTTTTCTGTTGGCATAAGATGCAATTTTAAGGATGTTTTGACTTTTCTATTTAATTGACGTTGAATGAAATTGACATCTGAATTGGAAACCTGGATACACTGTTTTTTTCAGACTGTTTAAAAGTTAGCAGCTGAAAATATACAGTTTCAAAAAAAATAAATTAGTTTCTTATTTGTCTATATTCCTGGTCATAAAAAGATTTTGAAGTCCTGATGAAAACTCTTAGGAAAGTCTGCTCTTGATTTTTTTTTTTTTTTTTTCTTCTTCTTCTTCCATTTGACACATGGGGAAGACGATGTAAAATTGTTGACTGATAACAAAATTCAGTGGGTGATCTCAAAATAGAAAGCTAGTTTGACATATGAGCTATTGCTGCCTGCTTTGAAATTTCCATTTCATATATCTTCAAAAGGTACATTGGCCTCTTGCCCTAACATTTGAATAGTATTATTGATTTCTATTTGACTTCTGCTGAGGAATCCTGCTTCAGATTCTTAGTGCTCTAGAACCTTTTCCTGAAGTTTATAAGCCTATAGACACCAACACTTTGGGGCTTTGTTTGTTTTGGGATGCCGTTAATAAAGTTGAAGATTTTGAAGTTTTTATGTTTTGGACAGGCAGTCGTACAAGGTAAGCATGTCATACCTTTTTATGTTTGCCCATAGGAAACAACCATGTTTACTCTGCTGCTGGTGGTCTAGCTCTAACTATAATAGCTGCACTTTTTGGACATCTCTTAAGATATTTACTCCCCAAGAGTGAGACGCTTTTCCAGGTGGTGCATCTTGAGTTGTGGCTGTCAACCTTTTTTAAGCTCAAGGCACAGTGTAAAAATATATAACCATACTAGTCCATTATGTCTGCTGTAGACATAGCCATGGAGAGTCATCACCTACCCTAGCATGCTGTGAGTGCAGAGGGCAGTGAACATCTTCATCCGGCCTGCCTTGGGTCTCTCAGTTTTGAATTTGTGGGTTCTGTGGGGCTCTTGAGAGAGGGGGAGATGGCATGGTCAAGCTGGAGGCAGCTTTGGTACAACAGAGCTGAAGAGTTATGCAGATGAGGAAATAGGGGCTCTATCATGGTATCAGTGAGAGCCCATTGCTCCAGGGGGAGTCTGTTCTGGCTCCTTGGCTTCCCTGCACAAGTGATTCCTGGTCATTGCCTGCCAGGCAGCTTAGCTGGTACCTGAGGGTGCAGTTTGCCCAGCACTTTGGAAGAATGGCAGGAATGAAATTCCCAGGTGGGGAATTGACACTGGAGTCTGGAGCCATGTTGTGCCTGATAGGGATGGCACTGACTGCACTGTGTGCTCCCCAACCTCCCAGAGATGCAATGAGTAAGACTTGCAGCCCAGGGCAGTATTTCTCAAACCTGGTGGGTGCGCTCATGCCTCCTATGAGTCTCCTCCACCTCCTGTGGTGTAGCTTGCTATAGCGTTTCCCTGTTTGCTGTATGCTGTGCATTTCTCTGCACCACTCTGCAACACCCAAGCTGCATGATGCCTCCCTAGCCCTCCCTCAACTGTACTGAGGGCTGCTCTTATGACCTCTGCTGCAGCCATCATTTATTCTTCATAACTGATTTCTGTAGGTAGCAGCAATGATCAGCAAATTGCACAGAACAGGCAGAAGGGATGTGTGTGGGGGAGTGTGAGAGTGCCCACCCGGCTTAGAAAACACTGGTCCAAGGCACAAGCACATGGAGGGGACCTGAGCATGCTCTCTGTAAGTTGTCACCTGGGGTTTGTGCCCCCCTTGCTCACCTTAGCTATGACATTGGGACTCCTTCAGGCTGGGCTGCAATGAAGTGCTTTCCCCTCTACAGAAGCTGCTTCTTTGTCCAGGCTTGAATGGTGCCTCCTGGAAACAGAGTGTAACAGGGGGCCTGCTCATTTCATGCCCCGATGCCAGGGGGCGCTATCTGCGGCTCCTTTCCTCCCCTACACCGCAGCCGAAGCCTCACAGATGGCATCTCGATGTTCCTTTAATCACCGGCCCCCACACTGGGCCCCAGAATCCTCTTATTGAACCCCACCTAGATTCTTCCTGTCAGGCGGCCTCTTTTGCCGTCAGACCGGGCAGCATTGCTCCC